ACGTCCTCACCCGATGCCCCCACTCCGATCACCTGCCCTCCATCACCACACTTGACCATTCTACCCACCCAACCGGATCCTCCTCCTACACCACCGCCTAGTACGTCTCGCTCCGGTAGACATATCCGTTTTCCCGCCAGACTTAAAGACTTTGTAGTGTAATTTTTTTTCCCGTTTTATTTTATCGAGCGTTTTGTTTCTTCGGCAAACGCTCTGGTGGGGGAGTTGTGTAGGCCTTTGTACACTTTTGATTTGTTCCACTACATTGCTTGTACACCTGTCCTGCCTGTACATTTGTTTGACTAAACTGAGAATACACTTTTTTGAACAACGCTACGGCGGTCAACATGTGTTCTGGTCTCGAGTGTGTTTAACGTCGTTATTTCTTGGCGTGAGCTTGTCACCTCTCAATTCTCTTAGCAACTCGTTCGTGCTGCCGGAGACTTCCTCCTCGAAGTTAACTTCAACGGACCATCGCGGAACCTAGAGCCTCCCTTCAACCATTCCTTCATCGGGACACTATCTCCCTACTTGGTAGGATTCTACCTTACGTGAGTCTGGAACATTCCTTATCTGGTTCTTTCAATCTGTACATTCCTTTTTGTTCGTAAACACAATTCCCCCATTCGGAGTTAGTTTTCTTTGCAGATATTATTGTTTGTAGTTTCTAAGTCCACATTTACACTACACGTTTGAATGCGAATTGCCAGCCACAACGGTGTTTTCTCCGATGCATAGGACGTTGTTGACGAATATTTGATAAATTAACACAGAACGATCGCAAATACGAAATATTGGTTGTAAAGTACAACAGTTTTCATCATGGTCGTTCGGAAGTGAAATTGAAAATTTAATTCCGTTCAAAAGGGTGCTAGCGTACTGTAGAGACGACCTCATAGTCATAGCTCAGACAAACAAATGATGCAAAACAGTTCAATATATCGAAGAGAAAAGGCACAATAATGTACAATTAGTAAAAATCCACACGTGAATCGAGAGCTACAAAAATGGCTGCTCAAATTCGAAAGCCCGCAGATATAAGTTTCGTTGCTCGCCGTTAAACTTTTTTTAAGTATCCCGAAGTCTTTAGCGGTCCAGGGACTCTATGCTTGGATAGCAACTCCAGATGCGGGTACACGAAGGTTTGAAAGACCTTGGCGAGGCAGTCTTCATCAAATGAGGAGAACGCCCGTTTGACGAGGTATAGAATGGACATCGCCGACTTGGCTAACTTTAGCCATTGCAGCGAAGGCTTAAGCGAGGTTGTGATTCATTTAACCAAGTCCTTCTGGGCGTCGACTTCTTCTGAGCGTTTCAAACTCTAGAAGTCTTAATCTTCCGGAGCACTTTAACCTGATAGCCTCCAATGCACGGAATACGACCGGCTTTATCCCCGAAACATTAAAACTAACGATATTTGAATGCGCCTTTATAACCTGTACGTCCGACCTAGCCTATATTATTCGTTTTTACTAGGCCTCATGCGTGCTGCTGAGCTGAAAAAAATCGAATCCGTTCAAAATGTTTTTACCAGGATTTTTAACTTCAGAGCACCGGCATTTGTCGTACAATGAACATTGTGGACTTACAGGCCTCGATCGATTGTGGGTTCGTAGATTACAAAGGGGACTATTTTCACTATTTAAGCTTTTATATAATTTACCCTTAACCAACTCATTACTTTAAGACAGATTGTCAATCCCCGACCTAACACTTGGTGTGAAGTGTTTTATTTCTTTCTCTGGCACGAACCGTTAAATATCGTCTGTTCTTTTCTGTGAACGCAATTGCTACAAGGTGTAAATCACCCAGGAACGTGAAAAATCTGCAAAGTTATCCTTTGTTTAAGAGAATTATGAATGGCTTTTTGCATTCAGAAAAACTCCCACAAATTGTGGGTGCTGAATCTATCGATCGAATGTACCGTAGCGATGGCGTTCGTGGTCCCTGATCCCTATGGCCGGTCTCACCAAGGACGATGCCGTTAGCCAACAGCAGCAGCAGTTCTTGAGTGCTTTTGTTTGGCCCAGTCCCAACTTCATTAAAAGAAATGGTGACTTCTAATATCCGATGCAATTATACTCTCCCCATTCTTTAGTTCTCGCCATTTTATGGGAAGCAGTCTTTGTTCTCCTGAACCCTATAAAGTATAAAAAATCCCCATCTCCTTTATTTAATTATTTCTAAAAAACATCCATACTATTATTATTAATATTATTATTATTATTGGAAACACGTGTCTGGGATTTAGCCAAAATCCTGGGCATCATCAGCATAATCATCTTATGTACTTCTACTATTAGTCGCATTGTGACTGCCGGCGAGGGTTCTAGCATGAGACCCAAAGCACAACGGAACGAGGAGCACGTTCCCAAAGATGATCTATCATGATTCATATTCTCCATCACAACCTACAGGACAAGGAGCCCGTGGCTCACTTGTAGAGCGTTTCACTGAGATTCTAATTCGCAGTATTACCTGCTTGCGTAAACCTGATACATAAGGTGTGCAAACTCATGAAACGCTGGGATCTTTGATCACGGAATTTGACGCTTTACCGTTGAACCACGGGCCCGTTGTCCTGTCGGTCGTGATCAAAAATATCAGTTCTTGTACATCAATGCGGGAACGACCGTAGCTGGTCATCGCTGAAATCGGAAAAACGAAGTGGATAGCGCCTGTAAGTATGATCTTAACCGACCAGGGGAAGGCCTATTCGCGTTTGGCCGGAGAAAGTTATCGACATTTGACGACAAACCATTCCGTCAATCCGGACACTAAGAACACGAATGCGATCGAAGACTACTGGAGTAGGCTGAAGAGAAAACTGTGTCACGCTGACTGTGAAGGCCATCGATGAGTCAGTGAGACCTAAAAGTAGGACAGTTTGGAATAATATAGGGGGCAGGGGTAACAGCAACAGTCCAAATGCATAAGGGGGCGCTGTCAGACACGACAGTCAGACTACCATGAATGAAACACCTGGATGGTACTGCATGAAACCGCGACAAAATCTTATTTCTAAGCCGTATCTACTAAGGGTAGAGGCTTAAGGTTGGGGCTAGGCTGGGACGTGTCTACTGTAGGTACTGCAAACTTCAATTTTTATATAGTACATATTGTTTTTTTGTCATCATTTTCCCTTAGAACTTAGGTTTTTTTAACTTAGAGCAAACTCACAATTCGCGCTCTTTTGGCTAACCAGACAGCCGAAACAAATGAAGTCAAAGTGCAGTTAAAATTGACGAGTTTGTTTTAGGATGTTTCCTGAGCCAAAGGGGACTGACAGTGTCCAAGAGACGCTTCAATAAACCCATTCTATCTATCTACTGTAGGTACTGCTACGAAATAAGATCCGATCAAAGCCGCAAGTCAAGTGAAACACGAGCTGGCTGAAAATGCAAAGTACACCGGTAACGCAGTCATACAGGCAGCCCGGCCACTGACGGGAATGGGGGAGGGGAACTTATCGGGAGGCGAAGTAACGGCATAACGCTGCGAGTGATCAAAATAGCGATATGCGGACGGGTTTCGGAGCGCTGAATAGTGGATAATCGGACATTTTTACTCTAGCCGCAACGGCTAGCGGGCGTTCACACAAAAACGCCTAGTGGATCTGTTGAGTACAGTGCCAGCGGAGCGGACGTAGAGCGCAACGGCAGTAAGCACTGGCTCTAAACGAAGTCGACTAAAGGGATGGTGCAGCAGCAGACGAGGCTCAAACACAACGGTGAAAAAGAAGGAAGAGGGTTGGCTAATGGAGAGGAAATTCGTGGGTAGGATGACAACGCACAGCGGATATGAACGTCACCGTTAAGGACAGCAAGTCTCACCGCCTTATCCTCATCATACTAGTTCTGATTTCTAATCAAAACCACGCATTAGCTCAGACTTCGTTCCTCGTCAGCAAATGTCAAAAATCAAAAGGCAACCGCGGTGAGCAGCGTAAATACTGCTTGTAAAATAATCTAGTATCAATATCAGTATCAGTTTATTAAGGGAAATATAGGCAAGTGCCTTTGAATTCCCTCTTGGTTACAAGTCGTCGGAGAAAAACATTGATAAATGGGAAGGTGAAAACAGGATTTTTTACATACTCGCGGACAGCTGGCAGCTAGCCGAAAAAGAGTAATCATTAATGGTTACTTACTAATTACAAGTAGTATAAACACATATAAGATGGTACCGTGTTATGTGAGTGGATGTGGGGGTGGTAATTGGGAAGCTTGATGCAGGTCAAGTCTACACTTGAAGGAGTTCACACAGGAGGAGGTTACAACATCGGTAGGTAGGGCATTCCAGGCTGCAACCACTCTGTTACTGAAAAAGGACTTTCGGCCATTGGTTCTTGATTTCCCTGCGCGTAGTTTTAGGGGATGACCGCGCAAATTGGGCTTGTTAGCTTGGGTGAAATAATCAGTGGGATCTAAACAACAGTCTAGGCCGTTGATGATGCGAAATGTTAGTATAAGGTCACCACGTAATTGCCTGTAGGAAAGGGGAAACAGGTTGAGGATTGACAGTCTGGTTTCATAAGGCAGTGCTCCCAGACCTTGTGTCATTTTGGTCGCCCGTCTCTGGACCTTCTCCAAGACGGTATAATCCTTGGCAGTCCAGGGTCTCCACGCCTGTATGGCGTATTCTAGATGAGGTCGCACGAAGGTGCCAAATATTTTGGAAAAGCAGTCAGGGTCAAATCCCATAAATGCTCGCCTAATGAGTTGCAATGTGGCCGTAGCCGATTTAGCCGCCTTCGCGCAGTGCAGTGTTGGTTTGAGTGAAGATGTAATCCATACACCCAGGTCCTTCTGACTGTCAACCTGTTGCAGTGGTGTGCCCTCTATAAAGTAATTCCTGGAGCTGGAGGCTCTGAAGCTGCCTAGTTGAAGAAAGTTGCACTTGCTTATATTGAAGGGCATAAGCCAGCGCTTCGACCAGTCTTCGAGTCTGTTCAGGTTTGCTTGCAGGTGGTCTGCGTCTGCCGCATCGTGAATAACTTTTCACAATTTTATGTCGTCGGCAAACAGGATGGCATCACAGTCTAGGTCCTTGACGCAGTCATTTACGAAAACGAGAAATAACGTGGGACATAATACTGAGCCCTGCGGGACGCCACTCACCACGCTTACATCTGAGGACTGTTGGCGCCCGACCTGCACTCTCTGGGACCGTCCAGCCAAAAAGCTCTGGATCCATACAAGAAGGCGTCCACGAATTCCAGCGTTGCGCAGTTTGTACAAGAGACATTGATGAGGAACGCTGTCGAAAGCCTTTTTGAAGTCGATGTAGATGGCGTGCACCACCTTGCCTTCATCCCGTGCTTTAGTCCAGCGTTCGAGCGTAAAGAGCAGATTCGTGAGGCAGGACCTACCACTTCGAAAGACGTGTTGGGCATCAGAAAGGAGATGGTGCTGCTCGAGGAACTGCACTAAGGCCTTCTTAATGATCAATTCCATGATTTTGCGACAGATGGAGGTAAGACACACTGGCCTGTAGTTATTCGCAGACGAACGACTTCCACCCTTAAAAAGCGGAGTGATGGTAGCGGACTTCCAGTCAGAGGGCAGGCATCCAGGAACAAATGACGTTTGAAAGATCAAGGCTAACGGCTTGGACATTTCGGAAGCTAGCTCCTTCAGCAGCTTGGCCGGGATTGCATCAGGGCCTGTGGAGGTCGATTCTTTTAGGTTTAGTAACTCATTCCGAACAATTGTTTCGGTAAAGAAGACGGCTTCGAGGTTAGGCGTTTCATCGTCTTCATAAGCGGGTGAGGAAAAAGCAGGTTCACTTGTCACGACTGACCGGAAGAACTGAGAGAGATGTTCAGCCTTATCCTTGTCATCGGAGATTTCCACAACCTCAGCCGTTCGCAGCAGTGGGACAGGCTCTTTGTTCCGTGTGCTCTGTCGTACGTAGCTGTAAAGGACTTTTGGATTAATCATGGCACGGTTCAAAAGATTCTTTTCAAAAGTTTTCCTATCTCTGGCGATGAGAATTTTGACCCGATTTCTCTGTAACTTATAACTGCTTAGGGATTCTGGCGTGCGATCCGTCAGCGATCTTTTCCATAGCTTCCTCTTCTTGTTAACTTACTTCTTTAATGACGGAGTCAACCAGCGAGGTCTATTTGTTAGTCTTTTGCGCATGATTGGACAGTGTTTGGAGATGAGGTTGTGGACTAACTCTTTGAACTGAAACCAAGTCTCTTCGACATTGCCGGAGAGAGTGGATGCCCAGTCGATAGGAGTAAAATCCTTTTTCATCTTTTCGAAATCGCCGCGCCAAATATTAGGTCGGGAAACGAGCGGCTGTGTAGGAAGGGAGAATAACGTGTATTCCCACATGAGAACTACATGGTCACTCTGACCCAACGGGGGGAGGCAATTCACAACGTCGATGTTGTCAGACGACTTGGTGAACACAAGATCGAGGCAGTTCATCTGTTGGCCCTCTCGAACTCTAGTTGGAAACATTACGTGTTGTGTGAGAAGCAGGTTGTCGGAGGTACGCAGTAGCTGCTGGTCAAATGCTGCTTCAGAGCAGTCGGCTGAGGCCGAGCTCCAGTCGATGTGAGGTGCATTTAAATCTCCAACGATGAGATTGGTCGGCCGCGTTGAAAATAATCTGAGCTCCTCCAGCAGTTGGGCATCAGCGTCAGGGTCATTTCTCGGGGGGCGATATACTGTCAAGATATCGAGACTTTGAGAGCCCGGTGCCCTTATGGTCAGCCATAGTGCTTCGGTACTACAAGTCAGCTGGGCAGTTTTTTCTGAAACGTGCAAGCCGTTCCTAACAAATGTTATTATGCCTCCACCCCTTCTGTTTTCTCTGTCTCGGTGGAACAGTTGAAATCCAGGGAGCATGAGCTCTCTATCATCAACCTGTTCGGATAACCATGTTTCTGTTATTGAGATAACATCTGGATGGAAGTCGTAGGTATGGATACGGAGTTCGTCCAGTTTAGAAAGTACACTTTGCGCGTTGGTATACATGAATATGAGTTTCGAGTTCATGCGAGATTTGTTTTCAAACCCGACACGGGCTACTAGGGTAGCTGTGCAGTCATTCGGATCGGCTTGATCCAGATGGGAGCGGAATGTCGTTTGACAATCCGGTCTTTGTAGATTGTCAAGTTTTTCTCTCCGTTGGTTTGCCGTGTTCTCAATTCTAGGACAAGTTCGCGGCGTTTCATTCTCTCGGCAGGTGAGTAGTCCGGCTGAAAAAACACTCCTTTATGGGAATGCTTCAATCGAAAACGCCTGGAAAGTATTAGTTTCGCCTGCTCATTGCTACCAAGGACGATTTTTAGGGGTCGTGGTCGTGTCTTCGGAGCGGCATTTGTACGGCTACCAAGACGAAACGCCTTTAAGACTGTGACATCTTCTGTTGGTTGCAGCATTTCATTGAGGAGTTTCTGGAATTGCTCTAATTCAGCAGCGATTCGTTCCCTGGGGGAACTGGCGGAGGACTCTGCGAGGCCCTTAATTATGACACAGTGGTCCTTGTTAAGCATTCCTCTGTTTTCTGCGATTTGGACGTCGTTGGCTGGCCGTATTGCCTCGTCGAAGTGGACTGGATAAGAGGAAGGGGCTTCCATATTGGTATGTATGTCCCCGTGAAGTTCGTCCGCGGATCCTGTTAAGGCATCGTGAATAGTTGCACCCTGGGATCTATCAACAATAGCTCCCATCAGAGAGCTCTGTGGAGAGCTTGACCCCCATGAATTAGAGGCTTCCTCAGCTCGGTTCTTGACTCTGTTGACATGGGAATTCGCGGTGGCAGCTAATTCCACCCTGGGTCCATAGCCATATGTCTTTGCGCTAACTGATAATCCCTCTAAGTTAGGCTCAGGAAATGAGAACACTGTCTGGGAATTATTAAGATTGGGCGTCATCTGCCCCATTACTTCCACTTCTTCCGTTGGCACATTTACGTTCGTTTCATTTTCCAACCGCTTTTCGGGTAAGGCTAATATACTCTCTTTCGTATTCTGGCGACTTTTCCCTGTGGTGTGAAGTGTCGTCTTCTTCCTCTTATTCTTTTTTCATCGGAAGCCACGACTTGATTACTAATAGTAGTTGTCTTATTCACCCCATAATTGCTTTCTGGGGATTCCTTACGCTGGATGGCTCTCGCTCTACTCCGAGTTAGCCTCTGCGTAGGTAACACCGGGCGGTCCTCTGAAGGAACAGTCTTGTGTATAAGTTCCTTCAGATTTCTTACTTCTTCCTCTAGTTGATGCTTCTTGTAGGCTATCGTTTGACAACCATTACATGAATATCCTACCAGATCCTGCGGTGACAAATTAACAAAGCTTTTAACTGAGCTCTCCAGACGTGCGTCGGTGGTGTAGGGGTTAGCGGAGCGAGTTCTAAGTTTCGAGGTCCCCGGTTCAAATCACAGGTGCGCGTTACTTTGGAACACTAGTGCAGACGCCAACATTCTGGATAACTTTTCCATATACACAAAGAGCGTAGACTTAAGTATGAAGGAAAGGCCTTTATGACGATCTTTCGGTAGATAGTAACTTCATTAGCTGAATGGGAAGGTATGGTCGAGAAGCTTCCGAGAGCTAAAATTTAGACAAATACTTTGAGGCGATGATGAAACAATGTCTAATAGTAGAAAAGCGACTCAGCCTTTGTAGAAACTTTGGATAAATTGTTCTTCAGATAATCCGACTTTCTGGGCTTGCAAGTATGAGAAACGAGGAAGGCCGAAATCGGAGTTCTGGGAATGTGCTGCAGGAGACTAGTTGGGTGGAAGATATTGATGAGTCGAACTCAAGTCTAAATTCTGGCAAGCTCTAAGAGCGTACAGTAAGTGAATCTGTTTATTAATGACAAAAAATGCCGTCGGCATGATCAAAGGCGATAAAAAACTCAGATATTAAAGCTTATGCATGAAGATATGAAGATATAAGATATAAGATGGAGTGGCTCCCATGAGGTGGTTATAACGGCAGCTGTTAAATGCAACCGGTGGAGAAGGATCTCTAGCCGAGAGAGCAGACATAAAACAGGGGTCAGAGTTGGTAAAATAAACTTAACGTAAGTGTGCATGTAAAATGTAGAAAAATAGCAAGACCTCAACAACTTATTTTTCGGACTCGAGAGCCTGCCTATCTTGTAGCTTATCTTCGATGAAGGTCCCTCAACCATCCGTCATCCATGGTCACGTTAGCCGGTCCGCAGCCAGCCTAACAGACAGACTAGGTCCTTCACTGAACAGTTCAATGGCTTCTGTGGGAAAAGTGCGATAGGGCAGGAGTCGCGGAACCTGCAACGTCCAACGAAGAAGTGTCAAAGTACTTACGATAGAACGCGGAAGAAGGGACCTCTATGAACATGTATGTATCAAAGCTAGACAGTGGGTATGTGCTGGACGCGAAGGAGCGGATTATGAAATTTACAGAGCATTCAGCACTCTGTAAAAAATTCCCACTTTGTCCTACTTGCAGACCCCAGTCTCTCTAAAGATCACGGTATGCAGCTTCGCAAGTGGATAAGCCGACGGATTACACACGGATAGAGGAGGTCATCCAGTCCCCCAACATAGTGCCGTATCTGCAACAGAAGGGACTTGTGTCTTTCGCTTGAGATGTCAATGTCAAACACTGCGTCAGCACACCGACGGTTATGCCTTCAGGTAAGCTCTGTATACTGTGGTATCCAGACTAAAAATGCGGCCGTTGCGGAGATAAGAGAGCTCTGTGAACAGCCTCGTTGTTTAAAGGGAAGCACCTGTCATTGCCGAAAGCGTTGAAAACGTGCCTTGCTTTAATTGAGGGCACTGGGGTCACTATATGTGCAACCGCGGTTGGCATTAGTCGGAATACGACAGTGGAGTGGTACAGAGTTTGGCGTGGCGTCTGTACCAAAGTCCTCCTCAAGGAGATTAATCAACTAGAAGGATCGGACGTGGAAGTCTAAGTTGATAAAACAATGATCCCGCAGCGTACGTACAACGTTGGACGAGTTAGAAAGTACAATTGAATCATAGGCAGGTGTGCTACGAATGACCACTGTATGCAGGAATATACGATTCAAACAAAAGGGAAGCCCTTTTCAAACAAGTGAATGTCCGAAGCTGCCCATCACTGAAGACTGTGCTAAGAAATTGGGTAGCGCCAGGAAGTGCGATAGTTACCGATCAATGGAAAGGCTAGTCGCATCTGGTGGAAGAAGAATATTGCCATTGACGATTGATCGTTCCGGCAATTTTGTCGATCCTATCGCCAACAAAGACACCAACGCAATCGAAGCTTACCGGGGTAGGGTAAAGAGAAAATTTCGCGAGTACGGCACTACAGGGGGGAGGAACAGCCGGGCTACCGTAGACGAAGCACAGTACCGGTTATGGTACGGTGTGAAAGCAAACAACTTGCCAGAGGCCTGGGAATTGTTCCTCAAGCATGTAGCTGAGGCCTATCCGGTAAGCAACTGCAGTTGTACGACGCAAGAGGACTCGCAGCAGACGCACAGGTAAGTATCTGTACTGTTGACATAGTGAACTCTTCCCTACACCAAATGCTGTCATCGTTTCCTATGCCTTTGTCCAACCTACAGCGAGTGACCGATCTCATAAATGTTGGCTGAAATTTTGAAATGCGTTTTCGATTAGGAAGGATTACCTCGTCGCGGTTGTAATACTGATTATCTGAAGGCGTACTCTTATAACATTTCGGACTCGGCAGGATGTCGGCTTTTAAATACACTTCTTTTCAATTTCCTGTAGAAAGCGTGCTCCGTTAAAAATGCCTACTTATATAGCATGCATTTTTCCCATTGATTTTCGATGGTCTTTCAAATTTAAATGTATTTTAAAAAGACTATAAACAAAAATATGCTTTCTTTTTGTCAATCAATAGAGAATCACGTCTCCTTTATATTTTATATTCTAGGAAGGAGTTTAATAAGGTTTTAATGAAGTTTCTAATTAT